CTAAAAGGCTGAAATTAATACAGAATTTTAAAAGATTTAAAACAATAAATTTTCAAATTAAAATTTAAAAGAATAAAAAAATTTTTTATAAAAGTTCATTATTCAACGAAAAAATAAATTCCTAAGACAATAGAATCCTTAACACATCTTATTTAAAAAAGCAATTAAAAGTTTTTTCTGATTAAATAATGTCATAGATTTATCTCATTTTTTTAATTTTACAGTTCAGAGCAGATTTTCGGTAAAAGGGTGTTTCTGTTTGATTTAAATTCTCGAAGGATTTCTAAAAGGTGTCATAAAAATACTTTGATCTTTCCGCTTAATAATAACATAAACATTTTAACGATAAAACTTTGTTTTAATCAAGTTTGGTGCCTTTTTTCATCATGGTATGTTTCAGGCGTTTAAGCATGAAACATACTGTCGCCGCTGGGTGTTGACCTCAGTGTCCACTTTCATATTTACATACACTCTATCCCTGATATTGAGCACTTTAAACATAGCATATATTAAAACGATATTTTAATTTATATATATATATATATATATATATATATATATATATATATATATAAAGACATTTTTATACATTCTTTCTATAGATACAAACATTTAAGTAAATGCTCTGTTTATAATAAACAGTATTAAACAACATTTACCGGCCTGAATGTCCGAGAAATTTTCACAGAAAATATTTGCGACAGGATTCGAACCTGTACCCTATACGGAAACCGTCATTTAGCTTGACGTGTCGTTACCGATTTAGCCACAGAGGAGCGTTCAGTTAGCAAAGTCGAATTTACTGTATTTAAACTTCAATCTTCCATGGATTTCACACGTACATTCATATCTGCTCATCGCGTATCAAATGTAAACAAATGACGTCACATATTAGGAAATGGACAAAGTCCGACAATTATTTTTTATATATATATATATATATATATATATATATATATATGTTTTAAGACATATATATATATATATATATATATATATATATAAGTTGCAAATTAAAAAAAATAATAATAATAATTAATAATAATAATAATAATTATGCTATTTGGACCCTATATATATATATATATATATATATATATATATATATCGTGGCCTGACGATTGCATATAGCATGAAACAGACTGTCGCCTCTAAGTGTTGACTTCTATGTTCACTTTTATATTCACACGCTCTATCTCTGATATTGAGCACTTTATCCCATAAATATAGCACTCCTTAAGACTATATTTCTTTATATATATATATATATATATATATTCAGACATTTTTTAATGTTTATACGTTCTTTTTATAGATACAAATATTTAAGTAAATGTTCTGTTTATAATATTATAAACAGAGCATTTACTTAAATATTTGTATCTATAAAAAGAACGTATAAACATAAAAAATGTCTTAAAATAATTGTCGGACTTTGTCCATTTCATAATCCTCTATAATAACGTTTATAACGTGAATAATATTTGTAAACCTATGAAAGAATTCACATTTCCAATCAATTTATTCGGTATATTTTGGGACACGTTTTATCTCAGATCTCCAAAGTGAAGCAACTAAATAATAATAAGGAGTGCCAGAGAAAAGCGATAATAACAACAAAGATTGCAATATGAGCTCTGGTAAAAACATGTAATGATAACAGCAAAAATTGCAATATGAGCACTGGTAAAAAATGATTGTTGAAGACATTAGGTTTATAATACCTAGAAATACACAGATGTCCTCAAGGACACATAGCACATGACATGACGCGTGAAATGGATAAAGGCGATAGTTAGATCCAATGACAGGACCCAAAGACTGAGTTCAGTACCCGGTTAAGGCAGTGGAGAACTTGGAGAGGGGAATTAACAGGAGATAACTGATAACTGACATCCATTAAACATGGCACGTGGAACTAAAACAGTCTACCCCAGTGAGCGAAATAAAGGATTCAGTTCGACATTCCGACTACCTGAAGAAGGCCGGAGTGTACAACGGCCGAAACGTTGTAATAAATATGGCGACAAAGATGAGGACAATAATCCGAATAATGCAAATCATGTACATTAGTTAATATGCTTTTATTTTATTTTATTCTTTACCAATGGAATATAAAGGAAATGCGAAGGAGTTGACGACATGTATGCAGCAAGGTACATTTTAGCTGTGAAGGTCTTAACTAGTAAAACTAAAGAATGGAATGCTTATCTGAACATTTGACATGGAAATAGCAAGAGGCTAGCAACATTAGGGGTTGATAGTCTGTTTCTGTTTACATGGAAGATTTCCAAACAACGACAAACTCGTGCATATAAGACGCTGGAAGCGAAAATCGCACCGCAGCTCATGACGTAAACAGAAACAGACTATCATTATTGTTTTGTCCGTGTATTGCTTAATATATTGTAATGTAATTGTCATCTTTGATAATGGCTTATATAAACCAAAAGCTTAGATAGGATTAAAAAATATGTATCAATATTGTGATTTTCTTTCTACGTTTAATGATAATGTTATTAAGCTTATAAGACGATATGAAAAGAATTTACATAAAATAAATAGACAACACTTGTCTATATTATTTAATGAAACATGCAATATATATATATATATATATATATATATATATATATATATATATATATAATTTTTATGTTTATACATTCTTTTTTCTTTTTTCTTTTTATAGATACAAATATTTAAGTAAATGCTCCGTTTATAATAAACAGTATTAAACAATATTTACCGGCCTGAATGCCTGAGACTTTGTCCATTTATAATATATATATATATATATATATATATATATATATATATATATATATATATATATATATATATATATATATATATATATATATATTTACCGATTTAGCCACAGAGGAGCATTTCGGTTGGCAAAGTAGTGAAAAAATTGGAAATGCCGTTCAAAACCTGTTCATACCCCTGATGACTGGAAATTTTACTAAGTAACATCGATGTCAGGATAAAAATTGGTATCTAACATGGCCCAGTGATAAAGACGTTGGATAGATGCCAGTAACTAGACCGAAAGAGTTGTGAGTTCAATACCAGGCCACAGTAGTTGATAGTTGAGTTAAAGGGAAATAACTGAGACATCCGGAAGAGGCATGGCACGTGGAACTAGAACAATATACCCCGGTGGACGAAATAAAGGGTTCGGTTCGATTTTCCAATCACCTGAAGGCCAGACCGTACAACGGCCGAAACGTTGTGAATATATATATATATATATATATATGTGTGTGTGTGTGTGTGTGTGTGTGTGTGTGTGTGTGAGTGCTAGCTGGATATATACATAGATAGATGAAGATAAAATGACACAATGGACAGAAAATGGAGAAGAACGACTGATAAACACAAGTAAAGTGAGTGATCGTGAGATGTAAATTGTAAAGGAAAATAGAGAGAAGGCAAAGTGAGTGAATGAGCGTGAGATGGAAATTGTAAAGGAAAAATAGAGAGAAGGCAAAGTGAGTGAGAGTGAGATGGAAATTGTAAAGGAAAAATAGAGAGAAGGCAAAGTGAGTGAATGAGCGTGAGATGGAAATTGTAAAGGAAAATAGAGAGAAGGCAAAGTGAGTGGGGGTGAGATAGAAAATGTAAAGGAAAATAGAGAGAAGATAAAGGCACACATTTGCGCAGGCGCAAAGTAGGATTATTAAGAAAAGTAAAATGTCCCACGGTAACTTTTGGATTTAGATTTAGAAAAAGATATCCTCATTGTTTCGACTTTGTTTACTCAAACTGTTACTCATCCTTTATGACATGCGCATTCATAGTGTTCCTTCGAGGAGTCGTAATTGTTTTCTGTAATAATTCATTGAATCGTGTTGTCCCTACAACAATGTGCATAGCACGTTTTTATACCCTCTCCTGCCACCTCTCCTTTTTTCCCTAACTCTTTCTCTTTTTCTTTGTTTATTTCTCTCTCTATGTATATTTATGATGAGGTGTTTAAAGGTTCACGGCTCGACCCACTTCCCAAAATCTCACCAAATGACCAAACGTCAGGCTTTTCTTTTTGTTTTTTAAGGCTTTTTTTTAATAGTAAATTAAACTCAATACAAGGCTCGATAGCCACTCAAGGTAGGGGTTACTCTTAAAATGATTATAATTAAAGAGGTGCGTGATATAACTAAAACGTCCTGGTTATGACGATAAACTACACTCGCCAGGCTTCAGATCGGGATGTTTTCAGGGGCGTGGGACCACCTCTTAATCGCAGCTGTTCCTAGATCTACCCTGACCCGGTGTGGTAGCACCTGTTAGGGTCCCAGCTATGGGCAAATAGTTAACCCCCAAACTATGAAAGTATAAAAATACATTTTTATAGTGAAAATACCAAAACTACATTTTTGTAAAAGAAATTACTAATGCCAAGAAAATTACATTTCGGTATTAAATGACCCATAAAGATGTTGATATAACGCTAAACAAACCAATAAACAAATGATGTGAGTGAAAGAGTAGATGTTAGGGTGTGAAGATTACGAGCTGAGTGATGATAGATTGACTCTTGACTTGGAGAGGTTAAGATTGTAATGTTCAAGGAAACATCCCGAGGGAGTCTTTTTTACAAAGTAGTAGTCTTCGGGAGAAAAAGCTGAGTGAAACTTTCTCCTTCCATCTGGAATACGGGGGAAATGAGGGTGGATCGTTTCCATGGAAGTAGCATGACGTGTAATAGCTAAAAAAAAGAACGTATCTTGTAGAAATTTACGGCTAGGACATGTCATGCTGCTACTTCCACGGAGTCGAATCACACACATTTCTTCCGTATTCCAAATGTAAATGAAACTTGTTCAGGTTGGGAACTTTTCCAGTAGCCCTTGCATACTAAGTATTACTGAAACGTTCGAGAAATTTGATGTCGGGAAAAATGATTTCCACCTACATTCAACTATCATTGAAGAGGTCATTATCTTTGCCATTTATGCAGACGTTACTGACCACAAAAGACAGCAGGAGTTAGAATGTTTGGATCCTATCTTGGTCAAGTTGAGAACTTTTCAGCATCCGTTCTATCTATCTATCTCTCCATCTATCTAGCTATCTATGTCATTCTCTTCATATTTATCTATCTATCCCATTCTCTTCATATCTATCTATCTATCTATCTATCTATCTATATGTCATTCTCTTCATATCTATCACTTTCTGTTCATATCTATCTATCTATCTATCTATCTATCTATCCCAGTTTGTTCATCTACCTATCTATTTATCAATTTGTTCATCTATCTATCTATCTATCTATCTATCTATCTATCTATCTATCTATCTCATTTTGTCCATATCTATCTATCTATCTATCTATCTGTTTGATAGTGGGAACATATAAAACTGTAGAAACAGCAAAAAAGAATTGTGCCATTTATGGAGATGGTGCTATGGCTGATATTACTGCCCATATATGCAGCATTTTAGTATCTGAATTTTGTAATTATGACCAGGAATCAGGGGAAAGTTTTGAATACTAAAATCATTATGGGTTTTAGTGTAAAACCCAGCAAGGAGAAAATATAAATAAAAATCTGAATTTAAAATCAATGAAGACCTTGACGATATTTGTTTTTGCACAATTCCGTTTTCAGAAAATCTTTCGTTTTCTGAAAATATTTCGTTTTCCTTAAAGAAATCGATCTGAAAACCCTTCTATCTGTCGGAAACCAACTGGAAGTATATTAATTCTAACCACCGATAAAGCCTCATCTCTCGCTATTTATGTGAATGGGACTGAAAACGGCCAAACTCATCGTCCTGTATATATGACGTCATCTCTGGTTGTCTCCAGAAAGTGGACAGGGTTCTTTATATAGAACGGAGACTTTTAAGGCATTGATTTTACCCACAAAATATCTGCTCAGCGGATAGCAAGCAAAGTTCCAACAATTATTTGTGGGTCTCAACAGAATAGTCTTTGGGAACTTCAATAAGGCTCAACATATGTTATCGTTTACTGTAACGATAGACCAACTGTCTGTATTTATTAACACAGAAGTAATTCGTGCTCCTTTTCAGGATCTTTGACAGGTTCCTCTCAATTTTCAGGAACGGATCTTTTTTATCTTGTTGTGGCTACCATCCCCAATTAGGTTTGACAGTTTTTGTGAATATTCCAACTTAGCCATTGCTCTTTTCTCAGTATGCAAAACCTGTCCCCTGATAGACTTTGTTTTTTTTCCTGTGAGGTTTGATCAAAGAGATGTGGTTTTCTCCATTGCCTCTCTCAAATTCCGTCTCAACTCATCAGCCTGGGATTTAAGGATCTACAAAGCTGCCACTTCAGTTGGCGCTATAACATCTAAGAATTGGGCTCAATGGTTCCAACGAATTTGTGACCTTTGTACAGTCGTGATGGTCGAAATTGTTTTATCTCATGTCATGACCCTCACAAATTCTATGTAAGACTAGATATTTCTATTTCTATCAATCCCTGATGTTATTTTGGTCTAGGAATGCTTCCATCTGCTTAGAGAGTTCGATTTATTTCATCCAGGTCTTTCCACAACAGTTGGCACCATTCAGGAATTGAATACTGTTTGTATAATGTTGGATGGAATTAGAGCTTTATTCTGTTAAATGCATTAAATGTGACAAAATTTCCGCATTTAAAAAAAAAATACTTTATCTCATTTTTAATTTGCATAATATTATATAACGTAGACTACGATAAAACTCGTATCGATTTCATTTTACTTCGACTTCTGCATTCTCACACTGTTCAAGATTCTATCTTAGATGTTATCGCAGAAATAAAATCACGTTACTAAAAATGTGCTTGGTCTTTTTTTAAAGCAATTGATACGGAAATCAGTTTAATTATTTACTAGTTTTCACGTACAGACAAAAATACAGCATATTTAAGTAATTTGGCAATTGCATTTTACATATATAATACAGTTGATTTTTTCTTGTTTATTATACGTTTATATATATGTGTCTCTGTGTGTGTATATATATATATATATATATATATATATATATATATATATATATATATATATATATATATAAACAGACGACATGCGTTTAACGGATGTCAGAATTCGTTGAAAAATACACCCCTACCGTCCGTAAACTTAACCTCTTTTTCGAACGTAACTCATAATTGATATAACAATACTTAATAAAAATGAACACGCTACCGCCCCTGACTAAATGATTGAATTTCTCTGTAGCCTTGGAAACAGGAAATTATGAATTTATATGTGCGTTTAAAACTCAGTAAATTTAAAAATAAGTTATTACAAAATTCGCTTGAAGATGAAACAGAAGTAATGCTTTCATTTTTATTTTTATTTTTAACTGAAGTTATTGGTATGTTTTATTTTCTAAACACGGTCAGCACTTCGCGGCCGTGTTCATAATTAATGTAATTGAGTGTTTGCTTTTTATTTTTTATTACTACCCAGCAATCTTTAAAATTTAGGAAAATATTCTCCGTAATCTAACGTTTCAACGAATTTTAGGTACTGAATTTTAAAAGATTTAAAACTCTAAAAATTATTATAATTAAAATTTCTAAAAACTTAAAACTATTCGTGTAAACATTCTTCTACCACTAGACCACACGCCAACTATATATATATATATATATATATATATATATATATAGAGAGAGAGAGAGAGAGAGAGAGACAGACAGACAGACAGACAGACAGAGAAAGAGAGAGAGAGAAAGAGAGAGAGAAAGAGAGAGAGAGAGAGAGAGAGAGACTGATACAGAGACAGACAGACAAACAAGTGCTACTCTTTTTACGGGCTCCATATATAGGCCACTGGGGAATTACAGAAAGAGGAAGAAGTGAGGAGCTGGCCGTTTCCACTACTTTTGTTTAGGACGAATGCTTTAGATTGTCAACTTTTGTTTGCTTATTTTATTTATTTATCATTTTTATTTATTTACATATTTTATTTACTTATAATTTCAAATTTATTTATTTATTATTTTTATTTATTTACATATTTTATTTACTTATTGTTTCAAATTTGTTTATTTATTGTTTTATTTATTTATATATTTTATTAGCTTATTATATCAAATATATTTATTATTTTATATGTTTACATATTTTATTTATTATTATTTCAAATTTATTTATTATTTTTATTTACATATTTTATATACTTATTATTTTAAATTTATTTATTATTTTATTTTTATACATATTTTATTTACTTGTTTTATCTTCATTTATTTATGATTTTTATTTATTTACATATTTTCTTTGATTATTATCCCAAATTTATTTATTTATTACTTTTTATTAATTTACATTTTTATTTACTTATTATTTCAAATTTATTTATTTTTGTTTTATTTATTTACATGTTTTATTTACTTATTACTTCAATTTTATTTACTATTTTTATTTATTTACATATTTTATTTACTTTTCATTTCAATTTTATTTATTTATTAATTTTAGTTATTTACATATTTTATATACTTATTACTTTTAATTTTATTTATTGTTTTTATTTATTTATATTTTTATTTATTATTATTTCAACTTTTATTTATTATTCTTGTTTATTTACATATTATATTTACATATTATTTCAATTTTATTTATTTATTTTTTTTATTTATTTACATATTGTATATACTTATTAATTCAATTTTATTTATTATTTTTATTTATTTACATATTTTATTTACTTTTTTAAAATTATTCATTTATTATTAAAAGAAAAAGGCATCTGAGTGCTTCACATGAAAGGCTTTAACAAATAAGACTGCAATCTAAGAAACAGGAGTAAAGGAACTGATTAATTAAACGGTTCATTTTGATAGGGAACTAATTTTGTCTAAATTCGGATGAATATTTTATTTGTATAGATTATTAAAATGACTAAGGGAAGTAATCAGTCATAAATTTACGATTTTATGTTAATTTACCTTCTTTCCCACTACAGAGAGGACAGGAAATATATAAATATATATACATTGATAATTATTATAGGGTTTCCATTTATTTATTTGTATTATTTATTGATATTTTATTCAAATTTTAAATTTTGGTTCTTTAAGATAAGTTTTTTAGATTTAGGTTATAGGGTTTGATATGGTCTTTTTGATTTGTGTCATGGTTGTAGGTCTTAGTAGTTATGTAGATATCACTGTAAGACTTTTTTTCAGGTCTCTATTTTGAAATGAGATTTCACGCTTAAGAATTTAAAAAAAACAAAGTTTTGTGTTAAACATTTTTTCTGTTTATTTTATTTTATTTCTTTATTTTATTTCTTTATGTTTTTGTTATATTTTGAACCATTTTCTTGTTTTTTAGTAAACGTTTAAATAATAAATTACCTCATTCAGTAACAAGTTTATCAATTTTATGAAAGTGGGGTGTATCGAACATTAATGCACTATGGAAACAAAAGGTATTACTGAAGACCTTCACACATACAGAAAGTATGGAAACAAAAGGTATTATTCAAGACCTTCACACATACAGAAGATATATCAATTGGATCCATCATGGTGAAAGTAGTAATGAACAAGAGATTACCTTAATTAGGCTTTCATTGTTTTATGAAAGTCACCTCCTCATTGCCCAACTTCGTTTCCGTTCTGGTAAATAGTGTAATGATGTCATATATATTATCAACTAACTCCAGGAAATTACATACCTCTCTAATAGAAAATTGTAAACCTGCTGTTCCGACCTTACAGCAGCATATTGACCACATCAATAGAGACTTCCTCTTCCTATTCATTAGAAACCTCATTCTAAGATCTGAATCTACAGAATCCATCGGTCTCATAGAGGAACTCTATCGATCCGCATAACCCTGCATGTCTGGCGAGGATGCCAATACGGAAACATTTCAAATCACATCAGAATTACTACAGCGAGGAAATGAAAGAGCCAGTCTATTTAATCTTTTCACATTTAATCATTTCTCTGTGCATTTACAAGCACAGATGTGAAGAGATGGACAACGATTATGTAAGCACTTCATAGCACATTGCAAACGAATCCTCTAATAGAAGACAACAATCCTGCTTTCCCTCTTGAGGGCCAATGTACTGATGAGGGGTGCGGGCTATGCTGATGACATAGGTATTCATAGTTAAGATAAAAATGACCTTGTACAAAAAATCAATATCTACTACCACGTGTTCCAAGAAATAGGACTCAAGATAAACCTTTCCAAAAGATAAACTATGATCTGGAATTGGAATCCAGCATAAAGATTCTGGGCATGGAATTAGTAAATACTAAACACTTCAAATCCCTTAGTGTATGGCATTTGGTATAGGAGATGAGGAAATTGGAAATAGAATAGACTACGCCAAAAGTCATTTCAACCAACACTGCTACAAAATTAAAACATTGACCTGAAAACGTAAGCCATGTTCTTACATAGTCAGATGAAAACTTTCACATGGGTGTCATGCCTTTCGCCAAACTTGTTCAGAAATATCTAAACTGTCGGCTCTATGCAAACGCTTTCTCAGATCAATAGTCAAAAATGGCTTTGAGCGAGTGAAGCGTTTGGGTCTTAGCAAAAACCATACTTCTTTTAACCTTGTGGACTGGTGCTACAGAATCACAAGCAAAGAACTGTACCATATAACAGAAACCACATCACTTGAGGACTTTCAACAGCGGCAACAACTAAAATGGATATCACATTTAACTCGAAGGAGAATAATGACATAATCAAGTGGTTGACGTTTCACACAACTTCAAACAAAAGGTTAGGAAGGCAACCCCCATCAATACTCAAAAGATCGATAACAGCTACTGGAAACCTATTTTCCTGAAAAATTGTTTCAAAGAGATTTTATAAATTTTAACCAATACTAGTACTGGCTGCTTGGTAAATGACTGGCAAATGTCTCCTTATTAAGAAAACAGCTAATATTACCATTACCATGTCTGAGTACTTTCGGCATTCATAAGCTATTGTTAAAGAAGTTTTGTTTATTGTGTTATGTCAGTTTAATCGCTTTTCAAATATCGCGTCTTCTCGCGTCAAATCTCTTTGTATAGTATTCTATCTTCACTTGACATTTTGTGTTGTCGTGTCGTTTTTTTTTATTAAATATATTTACTATGTCTCAACATTTGATAATAATTTATTGATGTTTGTTGGTTTGTTTTTATGATCAACGCTTCCAGTATTTGTAGTCGTTATTTTTTTTTTTTTTTGTTTTTTTAGAGTTTTTGTGATTTTTAAAGATTTCATGTGTTCTGTTGTTGCGTTGGTTGGTGATATACCATTTAATTGAACTATTATTGGATAAATGACGAGTTAACCTGCGCGATAATGCATTAGATATGTAGCCAATATATGTGTTTGAAATAGATATTCTCTAAGTGGGCAAGCGAATTCAGAGACAACATTAGTTTGTTGTTATTGATGGTTATCATATCGAAGGTTTTTAGTTT